AACATACAGAATAAGGACAGAATTTTAAAGGTGATGGGAGAAAAATATCAGATTATACACAGGGGAAACCAATTCAGATCTGAGCTGATTTCTCAACCCAGACCCTCAAAGCTAGATGGTCCTAGAATAATGTATACCAAACTCTGAAAGAAAACGAATGCCAACCAACAATTCTACAACCAACAAAATTAACTCCAGTTTTGAAGATGAAATAAAAATCTTCACTGATAAATAAAAGTTAAAAGAAAGCCTGACTAGAAAGTCTGAGCTATAGAACATTCTTAACAAAATATTCCATGAAGATGAAATGAAAAAAAAAAGTGAAAACCAGCAAAGAAAGGAACTACACTATAGGAATAGTCAACCAAAAGAGAAATTCAAATTAATAACCCGAAACAAACAAAAATGAATGGGAATACAAATCATTTCTAAATAATAACATTGAACATTAATGGCCTATATTCATCAATTAAAAGACATAGGACTGGCAGATTGAAATAAAAAACAAGACCCAACAATATACTGTCTCCAAGAGACTCACCTCATCGTTAAAGATATCCATAGACTAAAGGTGAAAGGATGGGAAAAAACATATCACTCCATGGATAGCATAAACAACAGGGGTTTCTATCTCATGTCAGATTAACTTTTCTGATAAAGTGGACTTCATGCCAAAGAAGGACATTTCACACTGCTTAAAGGAATGATACATCAATAAGATATAATAAACAATTGTAAATATTTATGCCCCAACAATTGAGCATCTACGTATATCAAACAAACCCTTCTCAATTTCAATAATCAAATATACCACAACACAATAATACTTGGTGACTTTAACATACCTTTCTTATCACTGGATAGATCCTCCAAACAAAAACTTATCAAAGAAACTACAGAACTAAATAATACAATCAATAATTTAGACTTAACAGACATATATAGAATATTTCATCCATCAATGATGGAATACACTTTCTTCTCAGCAGCTCATGGATCCTTCTCTAAAACAGACCACATCTTAAGCCACAAAGCAACTCTTAGCAAATACAAAAAAATAGAGATAATACCTTGCATTCTATCACATTATAATGGAATGAAATTAGAAATCAATGATAAAACAAAAAAATAGAAGCTCTAACACCTGGAGACTCAAAAAACTTAACACACACACACATACACACACACACACACAACCCATTTAATAAATGGGCTAAAGAACAGAACAGATACTTCATAGATGAAGAAATACAACTGATAACAAATATATGAAAAAATGTTCAACATCTCTAGAAATCAGAGAAATGCAAACAGAACTACATGAGATTTCATCTCACTAAAGTTAGAATGGCAATTATTAAGAATACAAGCAACAATAAATCTTGGTGAGTCTGTGGGGGAAAAAGCTGGTGGGACTGCAAATTGGTGCAACCACTCTGCAAAGCAGTATGGAGATTCCTTATAAAACCTGGAATGGAATCACCATTTGGTTTATACCCAAAGGAATTAAAATCAGCATACTATAATGACACAACCACATCAGTGTTTATAGCACAATTCACAATAGCTAAGCTATGGAACCAAACTAGGTACCCTTCAATGGATAAATGAATAAAGAAAATGTGGTGTCTAAAGACAATGGAATATTACTCAGCCCTAAAGAATAATTAAATGATGGTATTTTCCTGTAAATGGATGGAGCTGGAAAATATCATGCGCTAAGTGAAATAAGCCAATCATAAAGAACCAAAGGCCTTGGGCTGGGAATGTGGCTCAAGCGGTAGCGCGCTCGCCTGGCATGCGTGTGGCCCAGGTTCGATCCTCAGCACCACATACAAACAAAGATGTTGTGTCCGCCAATAACTGAAAAATAAATATTAAAAAAATTCTCTCTCTCTCTCTTTAAAAAAAAAAAAAAGAACCAAAGGCCAAATATTATCTTTGATATACAGATGCTAATTCACAATGTGGAGAGCCGGGGAAGATTAGAGGTATTCTGGATTGCACAGAGGGCAGTGAAGAGGGTATAAAGGTAGGAAGGATAATATAATCAACTGGACATAGTTACCCTATGTGCAAATATTATTACATGACTGGTGTCATTCTACATCATGTCCAACCAGAAGAATGATACTCCATTTATGATGTGCCAAAATACATTCTACTGTCATGTATAACTAATTTGAACCCATTCATCTCTCCCAAATTTTACCCCATACAGAAATTCTGCTGATTAAGATCTGATTAAACTAGTGATTTCAAAAGCTGTTGTTAATCAAAATCTTCTTTTTTTTTCTTTTTTTATTAGTTGTTCAAAACATTACATAGCTCTTGACATATCATATTTCATACATTTGATTCAAGTGGGTTATGAACTCTCATTTTTCCCCCGAATCAAAATCTTCTGTATTGAAAAAAATAAGTGGTTCATCTATAATCTTTAATTACACAGGTGATTTGGATGCTTAGCTTTGGCATTAGTGGCATGTATTCATTCCTTTACCCATTTGCTACAAATCCTCTAAAGTGGGAACTACTACTATCCTAACTTCTAATAGACAAGTACTAAGCAGAACAGACAGGAACTAAGCAGAGGATGCCTGAAATTAAACTGAGCAAGTCAATGGCAAAATTGGGCAAAACTCTTAGGATTTCTGACTTGTGATTATTAATTAAACTAAATTGACATGAGAAATAGTTTTAATAAAACATGGGTGTAAAAGTAGAATAGTCAGATATTATTCTCTTCAGCTAACAGATCTATTAATTTGTTTAACAACTATTTATTGAATACTGGTTTGTATGTGCCAATTGCTAATCCAGGCTGGGAAAAATGGGCCAGAATATCTGCCTTCTCATTTTAATGAAAGGAACATCATATCACTGTAGCATCCTCAAAATGGCCCATGAATGTGAACAAATAGCCTCAGAATCCAAAATTCAATTTACCATTATAGGAGAGAAAATGATAACTAATGCAAGACAACTGACCTATTGACAACTTCAGTAAAGTATATAAAGTTTGAGCTAAGGTCATCCTCAGAAAATGGCAAGGTTGACTGTGTGTGTGGAAGTTGTGTGTGTGTGTGTGTGTGTGTGTCTGTATAAAACAGGTCAAAGATTTGAACTGGAAAATATTTTAGGAAAGCAAAGTTAAGATTGCCCAGCTAATATGGAGTGGGCATTTGAGGTTGGTCAATAGTGGTACCAAACTACCCTTCTGCTATATGGTTTTATCTAGCAGTACTCAGAGTTCATTGAGAGATGGAATATTATTAGGTGCACAGGAAAGCAGGAAGAAGGATGAAGAAAGATGAGGTTGTCTGCAAGAAAGATTATCATGATCACCATAGAATTTAAGTTGGATATGGAGGGAAGAGTAAAAATAGGAGGTAACTAATATAATAGATGGAGAAAGTGGTAGAGCTCAATGGATTAGAAAAAGAAGTAATATGAGCTTCTATAAAGGAAGAATAAAGAACAGAGGCTGAATAAAAAGGAGAAAAGGTTGTTACAACTTGCCCCAATAAAAATCAAAGAGATTAACAGTTAAATTAAGTTTCACACTTATGCTGCAATTATTTAAAAAACTAGTTATTTTAGTATGAAAATAAAAATATGAATTAAATTTAAAATGCATTAGAGGAAGATGATGTTATCAATACTTAAAGCAAGAAAAACCTTTATAATAAGTAAAGATTTAATTTGTTGGATCGTTACAAATTTTTCTTAAAGTAAGCGCATTATGCAATGAGATTAAAAACAGTATCAGCTACTTTCTCATTAATGCTACACTAATTGGATCACACACAGATAAGAGTTTCAGAATTTCATCTGGCATTCAGATGATGCTAATAATCTGACATGTGGCAGGGCGGGTGGAAAGTGATCTCCCAAGGTCCATGCTTTCTCTTAGACTTATTACTTATCTGTAAAAACCAATGGCACTGTTCACTGGATTTCTCAGAAGGTTTAAATTGACAAAGGCAGTATCAATTTTCTATCACACATTTTTTGTTATCCATTTTTTTGTTTCTTATACATCTTACTTTCAGAATAAGCTTCAGCTCAAGCTTGGATGAAGACAAATTATGTTGCTTTTACATTGAACATCACTGTTACCATGCTAGGACCTTTTTATGAAGTAGTTAAAAGAAAAAGGAAACACATATCAGAATGAGTAGGCCAATGAGAGACTTCTGTAGAAATTCACGTTAGTATTCCCATACTTATCAGTACCAAGATCCATGTAAGGCATCACAGTCTTCTGACTCACATCACTGACAACCTCCTTTTTATGATGTGACCACTTAGGGGGAACACACAGTGGCGTGTGTTAGAATACAAAGAAAGCATTGAAACACCTGTAGCATTGCCTATGCCTTTGACTCTGCACTGGGCCTAAGGTTACAGGGGGAAAGAAAAAAGAAGGGACTGACTGTATTATTACTTGCTGCTGAATATAAGTAAATGATACCTATTGCTGATTTATAAAACTAACTTTTTTCCCCCTAAAATGCCACCTTTTCTTTTTAAAACACTTATTAGCAAATTCAAAAGAAAGTATTTCACCTGGGTGGAAATTTGGTTTGGGTCTTTGTATTAAATTCATGTTCAAGAGTGAAAACTTTTTAATCCTCAAAAATCAAAGGCTGAATGTTCTCCCTGATAAGTGGATTCTGATCCATAATGGGGATGGGGGGGTGGGCATGGAAAGAATGGAGGAACTTTGGGCAAAGGGGAGGAAGTGGAAGGGAGGGGACATGGGGGCAGGAAAGATGGTAGGATGAGATGAACATCATTATGCTAGGTACATGTATTACTGCACATTTGGTGCAACTCTACTACCAGAGAAATGAAAAGCTGTGCTTCATTTGTGTACAACGAACTGAAATGCATTCTGCTGTCATGTACAACTAATTAGAACAAATAAAAAATGATAAAAAAGAATGAAAACTTTTGCTGAGAGAAGACTCTATGAAGGAGGAGAAACAACTCACCACTCAGTTGATGGGCCACAGCCAGGCGGCTGGGCTTCAGGATGAACTGACACTGCATCTCTCGGGGCAGCTGTTCCATAAGGAAGGGCTCTTGCAGGTTGGCAGGGGAGGCAGAGTCCTTTGATCCCTGTGCCAGAAGAATAGTGTCTCGAAGATGGCTCATTTTAATTCCATAGGGATATTCATGCCCTACAAAGAGAAAAATCTAAATGTATTCTTCAGGTTGACTAATACAATACTGTGAACATGTTTGTTACAAACTTATATGTATTGCAATTTATACTCCCGGGACTTGTAGTATAAAGAATCCTTTTGTTGACTGAATGACCACCACGCACAGGTAGACCTACCAAAATACTTTTATGGTGAGAAGGGAAAGAAGGGAAAAAATCTTTAATGAATATCTTATTTCAAATGATTACATGGAAAGTGAATCTCATACAATAAAAATTTTAGATCAAAATTCAGTGCAGAAAATGATTGCAATGATCAGTCTGTCTTTCAATGTTTTTTTTAATTTTTTTTAGTTGTACATGAACACAATGCCTATATTTATTTATTTATGTCTATGTGGTGCTAAGGATTGAACCCAGTGCCTCACACATGCTAGGCAAGTGCTCTACTACTGAGCCACAACCCCAACCCTCTGTTTGTATCTATCATTTAGAGGCATTTGAGTTTCTCATTTGATACTAACTAGATCTGTCAATCTTCAGAAATCTATTGTCACTCTTCAGCCTCAAATTCACAATTTAAAATTTTTACATAACTATCACAAGTATTACGAGGATCAAATAAGTAAACATTAGTGGCTAATAGTTAAATAGGGACAAAAAACTACATATGTCAAGTATCACTACTACTATTATCTAGCATGTTCACCAAAGACATTTCATTCACTTTTAATAATTATAAAACTTGTTATTCAAGAGCCTTGGGACTAATTTGTTTTATTTATGTTTCCCTTCCAGTGCTAGGCTAGGTTGGTGTTCATAGGCTAAAGTCAGAAGACTGCAGATTAGAAACACAGACACAGGTGTAACAAGAAATTTATAAACTAGAAAAACTAAACCTTGGAGACATGACTGCAATGTGATTTTTGCTCTGCAGTACTCTAAGGAAATATCCCCTTGTAATCCTCAAGTTAACATCATGTTATTGACTTTTTAAATACACAGAGTAAGTTCTATTTTTAATACTGAATATAACTTAATGAATTCTTACTCTTCCTTTCCACTGGCATAGGCATACAATGTAAATGTTATCAATATTTCCACATTACAGTAACTTCCAGGGATTAAGACAAATATGGTTTCTATTACAGCAGTAATACAAAATTCATTTATCAAAATAGCCAACTACTAATGTACAGCTGTTTTGCAAGTCATATTTAAAATGTATAATTAAAAAAATCACATGTAAATCATGTCCCATGATTTTTCAGTAAGAGCTGGTAATGAAAATTTGAAACTGTTTAAGTTACTATCATCCACCTAGATTTAATGAATTTATTAAAATAACAATTTAAGTATATATTTGATTTTGTAATGACTTTCATTGTTGCTCATTCACTTTTACAAAAATTACAAGATAAAAAATAAACCCTGAAGTGTAAGCAGTTTTGTCTTTAGTTATATGCATGACAACTTTCTATATTCTAAGTATAAGCATTAGAATACATAGAAAGATTTCACAGAAAAGTCTGGCTTTAGATGACTCAGCTTACTTGAAACAGTCTGAATTATACAACAGTGATCATCATTGATGATGGAAGGATTACATAAGACATGATTTAAACAATGTTGAAAATTATCATCTCAAGAGCTGCTATAGATACTGTCCCTTACTTTAATACCTGTATTTCTAAGGCAGTAAATGAAATTACTTATCAAGAAATTTTTTAGCTAATTAGTTAAAATAAGGTGAAGTGTAACCTATTAATAATTCCCCAAAACAAAGGCTGAAAAATTTAGCTAGAGTAATAGTAGTAAGTGAAATATAGTTAGCAAATTAAGACTTTTAGTAGTCATAAAGATTTAATCTATTTTTCTTTGATACCTAGGAAAGGTAAAAAGTGGCACAGACAGGTATTATACATCTAATGTTGGATTAGATGCATGATTGCATTATGGTCTTCCACTGAGCCAATGTAGTAAAATGTGAGAAAGGGAATAGGAACTTTGAGAAATTAATATGGGATACTAATATTTATTGCTTTCTTATAGTGATAATTAGCTTGGCAAGATAGCTTTAATTGTAAAGTGAAAAAGCAAAGAGGAAAATTTACACTTGTCCTCCTGACTATACCATTAGTTGCTTGAGTAAAAAGATACTACTGTCAAGCACAAAGCAAATGTTTAATATACATTTAACGAATGCACAACACCTGAGATTTAATAGTATTTAAGCTTAGGATCATATGACCAGCTCTGAGACACTTAGAATTATAATTAAAATATATTATAATTAAAACATATTAGTGTCTTAGATTTTCACAGAACTTACCAATGAGTGGATATGGTGCTGCTTCTTTTCCAGAATTGACCCATAACTGGTAATCTCTCTCAGAGCCCTTGGAGATAAAAAAACTAAAAGTCACAATTAATCTTCTGTCTAGTACTTGAATGAAGACACAGTATTGGCATTTTTAAGCTTTGCAAAGAGGAAGATTTAGAAAAATTATAAATGCTATTCAGGTTCCTGGGACAGTGGATATTATTATTTTTTTTTTAAAGATGGCAGTGCTGATTCCTACAACCCATCTCCCATTCCCCAAAAGGACTTGGAAATTCTGCCCCCACCACTGATGTCTAGGGATCCACAAACATAATGGAATTGGACATTCACTATAAAGGTAAGCCCATGGAAGGTGAAATTGAAGCCAGGTCCTTTTACAAAGAACAAACTTCCTTTTTCTACAAAGCTAATCTTTAGTTCTTTATAGAGTCCTCACTTCAGTAATATCTCTGGACTTCTCAAAGAATGTAACATGCTTCTGCAAAGTTAACCTGTTACCCAGCAAGCCACAAACACTTCTGTATCTATGATTAAAAAGTAAAATATCAGAGGTGATTATTAATTAGAATGACCAAAAGGCTTTGAGGAGATAGGTAGTTGGCAGTTGTATTGGCTTTGGTTTGGGCAAGTCCAGTCCTGGAACAGAAAGGATAAGAATTCTACCTAGAGACTAGGCCCAGTCATGGAAAATAATAAAATTGTTCACTAGGAGAATTTAAACCCAGCAAGACTATAAATCCCACTTCAAAGAAATAAAACTAAATTTTATAGACTTTGCTGAGTCCTGTGGAATAAATCAAAATGTTTTAAATGGAAGTTGGAACAAAAATAATCAACTCTGTTATCAATATTTCATATGCTTGTCTTTAACCTCTAATAAAAAATCATGTTAAGATAGGTGAACAAATAATTGTCAAATGACTATCGAAAGGCAAATATAATAAAAGGTCCTAGGTATATAGAATACCATACAAACTGCTATCTGCTCATCCCCTAATAAAAGAGTAAGAACAACCTAATCTTTTTACGTAGTCTGAAAACACTTAAAAATATGTTATAACTAACAGCCTCAATTCTTAAGTTAATGTGACTTCTTTTTTTCAATTTTTTTTTGGTCTGAGCAGATTGATCACTTTATTTAGAGGAAAATACAAAAAAGAAATTGAGTTATGTATTATTTATGTAAGTAGGAAATCAATGCCGATGTACCTGCTTTACCTGGTGTAAATAAAATTTAATTACATTTTAAATGTTACTAAATTTTACTAATGAAATATATTTCTTATCTCGAATTTTGGTTGCCTTGAATTCTTTTTGTTGACATTATGATTTATTGGTTTGTATTATTACAATATGGTTTCATAATATACATTAATGTCACATAATAATAACTATGAAATATGATATGTCAAGAGCTTTGTAATGTTTTGAACAACCAATAAAAAAAAAAGAAGGTTGGGAATATTTTACGTATTTTACTTCCCAGATAAATTTTAGAAAAAAAAATTGTATTTGGTTTGATTTATTGAAAAAAAAACATGATAAAATTTTTATGGGGAAATACTATACATCAAATGAGATAAAATGGTTGTCTTTGCAATGATGAGTTTTATTTACACACATAGTGTGCAGAATGAAATACATTATGTCCTCCATAATTTTTTATTTTGTTATAAGTTCTACATATTTCTCTTGTAAGTCTTTATACATGTGATATGTTACACTGATATTACTTCTATTTAATACTTATATGATATTTTGTTCTGTTAGTTAAACTGGATGTAATGAAACTAAAATTAAAATTGTGTTTGGTCCCTAGAAACCAATTTTTCTCAAACTTTATTATTTATTTCATTTTGAAAGTATGTCCTCTTTCCTCCTAGCACCCAGATTTCAACTGTATGGATCAACACAGCTGTAGTCTTATGCTATCATATAAGTATATGCTATCATGATTCAAAGGTACAGCAGTTTCTATAGGTCTATGCTACTTGTTGAGGAGTACCATATATATTAAATAAACAATTTTCACTAATGAATAACAGCAATTTACATTACCTTTCTAATTCATGAGAATTTGTTTCATGTCCGTATCAATACTGTGTAATTTTTTTTTTAAAATTCTGATTTGTTATACATGATGGCAGAATGCATGCCCTGAATTCTTAGTGGCCTTTGTACAGTACTGTGTAAGAGAAAATATAAATTCAATAATGTCTTAAATGTGTCATGTCATAACTTAATAGAGTGTTTTAATAATTTAAAAATGTTCTAATGTTTTCATATGTTGTGGTTTAGATATAAAGTATCCCCTGAAATCTAATGTGTGAGATGGTGCAAGAATGAAATGATTAGATTTTGAGAGGTGTAACCTAATCAGTGGATTAATCCATTGAGATGGATTAACTGGGTGGTAACTGTAGGATGATGGGAGGAGGTTAGTGGAAATTTGGTCACTGGGGGCAAGTCTTTGGAGTATATAATTTGTCCTGGTAAAGGGAGCTCTCACTCTCCTTTCTGGCGTCATGTTCTGAGCTGCTTTCCTCCACCTCTCCCTTCCATGATGACATTCTGCCTCACCTTGAGCCAAGAGATAAGGAGTCAGACAATCATGGACTGAACCTCTGATACCATGAGCCAAAGTAAACTTTTTCTTCTCTATGTTGTTGTCATGCAGTCTTTTGGTCACAGTAATGAAAAGTTGAGTAAAACATCACCCTTCTAAAAATTACTCTTTTTACTAAAATTAACTAATTGTGTGGTGTTTATGTAACATGTAGGAAAGCAATAAGGAAAACTTTCCTAATCTTTTTCCCCTATACCTCATCCTTGAATATTCCAATCTTTTCCAACAATAAAATTTCAAAAACTTGCCTCTGCCCCAGAAAAGAAGGAAGAGTATGATATGTACACTAAGGCTTTCCAAACCCATGATCTAATTCAAAGCTATTATTTTATTAACTAGCAGAATCAGCCATCTTAACCTCAGGACCTGCAGCCAGTCAATATGGCTCACAGCAAATCCTTCAGTACGCTTCGTCATCAGTACGCTAATAATGAGCCATCTTATGATAGAAGGGATAATTTACATCTAAATTACTAAATGTTACTTTGAATTTACAGTATCAAAGTTTCTTTATAATTAGGAATATCTATCATAGTAACTTACAGTTATCCCTAGCATTGATAATGACATGTTGATAACTTCACTCGCTGTATCTGAATTCATTACTGTTATAGTTTTAGACTGTGGGAAAAAAAAGAAATACAGCTATAAATAAAGGATATTAAAATAGATGAACAAATAATTGTCAAATGACTATCAAAAGGCAAATCCTGATTTCAAGTGTGGCCATAGTAAAGCACAAGACTTAAACAGAACATAAACATTTGACTGTAATTTACTTTCACTCCTTGATATATTATGCCTTCTGATAAAACATTTATTTTTCTTAAAGGATATGTGGCCTCACAAAATATAAGAACTTAAGTAAGTAAAAAAATACTATTTCAGAGAGAGTACATAAACCCCGATCTCCCAATCACATACCCACAAAAATCAGCTATTCTTCTGTTTCACTGCCATAATTGTATTTCCATAATGCAAAGGAAATAAAAAAACGAAAAGCGATGTATTTCTATTTCTTCCTGAATACTGTTTTCACTATAGTTTATTTCTTTGCATGGTGTAAAATTGGAATAAGAACTGGTTACAAACTACATTTAAAACTTATTGAGTACTTTCTATGTCTGGCATTGTGGCTACTAAGATTTTCAATGTTGAAAATATTTAGAGTACTTAAAATTGAGTCTAAAAAAATTAAAATTTTAGAAAGCTCAATTCTTTTATCAACTCTGTCTTTGAGTAACTATAATAGTTCTGTGCTCAACTTCATTGAGAACTGCTAATTAAAAATAATCACAACAGCTGGGTATGGTGGCATACCCTGTAATCCCAGCAGCTGGGAGGCTGAGGCAGGAGGAAAGTGAGTTCAAACCTAGCCTCAGCAAAAGCAAGGCACTAAGTAACTCAGTAAGACCCTGCCACTAAATAAAATACAAAATAGGGATGGGGATTACCCCTGAGTTCAAATTCCAGTATCAGAAACAAACAAACAAACAAACAAACCCACCTCCCCAAATAATTACAACAAATAAAAGGATTTATTTACATACAGAGTTCAATAAATTCTCAAAAGAGATTATATACAATACTATCCTATCACGAATAAGTTTGCTATGCATTTAAGTTTTACATAATTATCAGATAAATTGGCAATTAAGACTGTGTCTCTTGATAGAACACAAATAAGAAGCATAGATGGAAACAAAATGATATAAAACACAAAAAGGATATATTACAAATAAGCTAAGCGAAATCCACTAATAATTTGTCACATGTTCTTCTGTTATACTGTTTCTTCCCTCTGAGCCAATTAGTTGACAGGACAAACTTCTTCTAAAAGTTGTTATTAAATTTCAGTTTTTAAATAAAAGCATTTTAAATGCATTGATTTTAAAAAAGTGTTCCTTGCTAAACCCAACAGCTCAAAGATCAAGGTTAGCCTTAGCAACTCAGTGAGGCCCTAAGCAATTTAGTGAGATCCTGTTTCAAAATAAAATACTAGGATGTGGCTCAGTGGTTAAGCGCTCTTGGGTTCAATTCCTGAAACAAACAAAAAATTAACCAAATAAAAACTCCTAGTAGCTCCAAGGATTATGCAAAAATGTCTACGGTGTCTCACAATCCAACAGGGAGGTCCTGAAGTACCCAATCCAGAATCTGTTTTCCACCACAAGAGCATAGGAATGTTACATGCCAGGCTTAAACTTGAAGTACCATTTCAGAAAGGGCATCTGGCTTTTTTTTTTTTTTTAAACATCTGAAAGAGCTCCCCTTCAGTTTAAAGAAACTCATGTTGTCTTTTGTATAGTGAAGAATCTATCCTGTTTCTAAGATAATTTTTCTTAACATTAGGCATATATTTTCAAAACAGTAATTACAGGAAATGTATTTTTGTCTACATACCTTTATGGGAAAGAAAACAAATTAGTTTCAGAAGAAAGAGCTCATTGGGTATAAACAAATAACAAAAGAGAAAAAAACTGAAAATATGGGTATTCCATTCCATATTAGCTGACAGGTTGTGTATCACTAAAGATAAAGGATGGATTAAAAAACAAAGCCCTTGTTGGGGGAATCATTCTTCCCTGAAGTAGGGCTCTCTCAAAGAAACTCTTTCCATAAAATCTACTTCAGAGAACCAAAGAGTTGTCCTCACTTCATTCTTGATTTATCCATGGTCCTAGTGATAGAAGCAGAGCACCCCACCTTGATCACATCTTTTGTCAAAATGACTGGGAATTGGTTCTTTCTCAAGCATATACCTTCCATACATAAAATGTTAAAAAAAAAAATTTCCCATGATATCTACACCTCAGGAATTGGTCAGAATGTTTGCATTTTTTTTTTTTTTTTTTTTTTTTTTTGCGGGGTGGCGGGGATACTGGGGATTGAATTCAGAATTCAGGGCATTCAACCACTGAGCCACATCCCCAGCCCTATTTTGTATTATTCAGTGACAGGATCTTATTTATTTTGAATAAAATACAAAATAGGCTGGCTTTGAACTCACAATCCTCCTGCCTCAGCCTCCTAAACCACTGGGATTACAGGCATGTGCCACTGCCATGGCCCAGCTGGCATAACTTTTGCTTTTGGTCAGAAGTGTGAAATATGACAATCCATAGTATCATAAAAATATATGTTTTTATCTTGTTTATCATTGATAACATTTTGGCTCTTGTACTATAATTTCAGTCAACAAATTACACATAGGAACATGGGTTAAAAACTAAACATTTAACAATATGATAAACATTATGAGGTAGAAGCATGCCAATTCCTTAAAAATCTAATTTCTCCCAGACCATCCACTTTTTAACTTGAGGGATTCAATTTCTAGAAACTCAAAGAATAAGCTTTAAAAATTATTTTAAGTTGAAGAAGTGACAAGTTTAAAGAAAACCTGCTTAATACTAATAAGGAAATACTTCCTTATGGAAATAATTTTACTACAAATCTCTGCAGCTGCTACTGAAAAGATCTCAGAGAAATATGACAGAGGAAGAAGAGACATCTGACAAACAGTATTCTTTACAAGCTTAAATGTTAAGTACTGTAGTTAATACAAATTCCTTGTTTCCTTTTCTTGAGTCTTTACTTCTCATACATACAAAGACACAAACCCAGGAGAAAGCATCTTCCTTTATATGCTATTTCCAGACACCTACCTTCTATAGTATGTACATTACCTGCCTGCCTGTCTCTTTTTAACCATGGAGTTTTCTGCCTTATACATAGACTTGGAATTTAATTTTCTCACTTAGAACACTTACATAAGCACAGTTCCCAATGTCTTTGGCGAAGATTTTGAGGGGAATACTCTTCGGATAGTCCTTTTCTTTCTCTAGATTGATGTATCTAATCAAATGCAATGACAATCCAAAATGACAGAGTCAGATGGTATTCACTAATGGCTTGTTTTTTAATTTATTTTTACTAATATTTTCAATTTATTTACATGCTACTCTTAAAAAGACACTTGAAAGACTCAGCAAAGTCAGATTACATTATGGGTTGAAAGATAAATACAAAAGATTGCAAGACATTAGGCATGGGCATGGAAAAAAAATCCATGTCAAGTGAGGATTGAGAAGTATAATCAAGTTCAGGCACCTCTGGATGACATTTTTATCTTTAAAGCCTCCTTGTCTTCTCTGAAAAGGTCTGGTACAAGAATATACATAACATTTTACTAAGTCAAACCAAAGCAAATGGTTTTTTACTTCTCATTTCATTCTCCAGTGGAGTATAAATCTTGGTTATCTCACTGCTTAGGGAGAGGGAAAAAAGAAGTAACAAGGAAAGGACTATGGGTTCTAACCAATGAGCTTAAGTTGACCATGTTAGTCTGTATGCTCAATGGTAGGCATAACTGATTTTTGTGGAGCTCCACAGAAATCCTTGCATTTTTGGAAACAATACATATTTTGGAGAAAATTATCTCCAATTGGTAGCAGCTTGGAGACAACAGCAAGAGATGGAAAAGATTACTAATTTTTGTCTAAAATGATCTATTTGGACTTCAGTGTTCTCCTTCCTAGAAAGAAGAAACACTGTAATGAGAAGGAATTATTTTTAGCAAGGAGTAGTGGGTGGTCTAAATGAGAATTTATTTTGAGGGCAAATGAACAATTTATACTAAGGGGAAGAGTTTGGGGCACATTTCTGAAGAATATGTTTTAATTCAATTTCTATAGGCTAAAGATTAAAAATAAGTATACTTAAAAAATACCTCTGAAGAAGTGAGAGCCATTTGTCCTTCTGTTCTGGAGAACTGCAAAGAAAATGGGAGAGAAAAATTAAACCACATAAAATAATTATGCTAACATTTTTGAGGCTGCCAATCCAGATGAAAATATCAACAAGCCTGTTGTTACTGAAGAAGTTATACATGTAAGCTGCAAACCAGCATAATTTTGTCCTGGAAGACCCTGAAATGCCCTTGTAGGTTTGTTAAATTCTTTTGGATGGATCCAAGATAGACCCCTTTTTATACTTTACTGGTCTTTTACAAGAGATATTATACCCATGAAAAGTAGGTCTTGTAGTGAAAAGAGTACTTGATTTGTAATCCAAACAACTGGTTTCCAAATTATATGCAATCTAGATGATAATCATGGGCAAGGTACTTATCCTAATCCTCAGTTCCTACACATATAAAACTGGATTAATCATTCTCACTCAGTGTTTAATCAGTTATAAGTATCATAATAGATAGAAAGTATGCTAAATATTGAGATGAAAGAGAAATTTGGCATATGGATAAACATGTCTTGGCCCAGAAACCAGTTCTTTATCAGGAAAAGAAGCATTGTTTTCTTTTATATACATAGAGAAAAACTGTAATTTAAGAAATTAGTTTATAGAAAACTTACTACTTACTATAACCTTTTGATCAATGTGAATTTATTCACAACTAAATTACTATTAATAATTTTTTGATGCGAATGTTGCATTTAATTCACAAAGTTAAAAATAATTTCAAGTTTATTTTTCCAAAGTGTTATCTCTCACAGCCTTAAAAATCATATTTCCAATTTTTAGAGAAATTGGAAAAATTTTCTTATTTCAGGAAAATGTACTTCATAAATATTTGTAATTTATTTCAAACTTTGTTGCTTAATATTTTTCTTCATAAATGATCTTTCAGAATTGGTCAACGATTTTTTTTTACCACCAGCCACACAGTTTCTATCTTTAACAGTTTCTTATTACTTCCTGGTATATTTTCTTTTCTAAAACAGATTTTCTAGTTTCATTTATGTCAAATATTTATTTATTTATCTATCAAAAATCTGTGTTGAAAAATAGACTAGATGTTTTCTTTGGGCTCATTAACTTTTTCAAAGCAGTGAAAGAAAACAGCACATTTAAGATACTTTTTTAAAAAAAACTTTTAACTGACAAATATATAGAGAAAACAGCATAGCTTTTAAGTGTACAGCTTGAGAAATTTTATGAATTGAATACATCCATGTAACCAGCACTCAGATTATAAAACAGAAAATAACCTTGGAAAATCCTCTGCTCCTTTTTAGCCACTAACCTCCACTATCTTACTTTCCAGTTGCATAGAAGAGTTAACCATACCAATAAAAAAAGTAAACGTATTAACTGCATGTAGTTTTAGAACCATCATTATTATTGCAATATAGTGTTCATTGTTTGAATAGATAGCAAAATAAACTAATTATGAACGTGTCAGGTTAATTTATGGAGATTGATTTGTTTAATTTTGTGTTGTTTTGCCTTTCCCCCTTGCTCTATACAAGAATCCAGAACTCCCCTTTCTTCTGGAATTCTTTATCCTAGTCATTTCTACAGGACACAAGTCCTCAGTACTCCAAAATCAATGGTTATCTCAGAGTTTCATAAACACCTAAGAACATTAAAAAAGACAATAAGATCCAAAGGAGAAGAATATAGTAGTGGAGGTAAGAAAAAGGTCAAGACAGATTGCAAGATTCTCTCAAATTATGGAGGGGATGGAGATCTATCATCCCTCAGTGTGAGGTGGGAACCAGATGTCAGTTCAGATGCCCTAAGAAAACAGAAAGAACTCGAAGAAATTGTTTTAAGGAACAACTAGGGAGGCTGAGTCCTACACACGAAGGAATTTGCATCAGCAAAGATACCTTACTGTACTTGCTGGAACATCTCTGGATGTAAAGCAACAACTATGGGCATAGCAAAAAGATGATGTTAGCAATGATTACAATAAATTGAAAGTTAGAGGTGGCTTTCAACTGTTTTGGAGGCATCTCAAAAATCTCCTGTATTCTGGTTTCACCTTAAGAAAAAAGTTTTGTTTTCTACCAGCATGTCAACATGTGAACTTAAAGTGAGTTTTAATTTGATCTATAAATAAACCCGAACACGAGTTTGTAGTCTATGACTACATTATAGTCTAAGACTCATACTTCAGTTAAAATATTACTCTGATTCCTATTATAGATAAATCATTGTCAGATTTAAGTATTTCCTTTAAAATAAGCATCATTTTTTCTGGTAGGCATAGATCCTAGGGTGTTTTTCTGTTTGTTTGTTTTGTAAAGGGGGTTGAACCCAGGGGCACTTTACCACTGAGCTACATCCTATGTTCTTTTTATTTTTTCAACTTTGAGACAGGGTCTTGATAAATTGTTCAGGTCCTCACTAAATTTCTGAGGCTGCCTCAAACTTGCAATCATCCTGTCTCAGTCTCCCAAGTCCTGGGATTACAGGAGTGCTCTACTGAGCCTGGCTTAGGTACTAGGTTTGTTAATAGAATATGAAGGCTGATAGAGACTTGAAATTCCTTTTAGTCCTTTTTAACAGTTGTTTATCGTGTTCCCCAAAGTATGGGAAGTTCACATTGTTTCTCCCAGTTTGACCTAACTAAGAAATTCTCATAGATTTAGGCAGTTGTCAAGTATTAAATTTCAAAGCTGTAAGTTTTTAGTTTTTGTTTCATTATAGATAGTGTAGTAACTGAGCCCAAGTGATTGCTTCTTGAGCTACTAGTCTAATGGTATTTAAAACTGATCATAGCCTAGAGTCTCCTTAATATTTAGTAAGTATGTGTGCATGTAGAAATATGTAAATATATGGTATATATTTAAAGATCCAAACTTCCCTCTGATATAATATCACTTAAAGATCCAAGCTTCCCTCTGATATAATATCACTTCAGCCTGAAAAACTTCATTTTTTTTTTTGTAGAGAAGGTCTGCTGGCAATAAATTTTTATGGTTAAAGAATATTTTACTATCACTTTTGAGGAATATTTTTGCTGGATATTATATACTAGGTTAAAGTTTTCTCTTCCAATACATGAAAGACTGAAAAATTCAACACTTGAAGTTGTTTTTTAACTATCCTCTGACCTCCATAGTTTCTAATGAAAAGTCTACAATAATTCAAATTGTTATTCTCCATATGTAATATATTGTTTTTCTCTGACTACTTTCAAGATTTTCTGAGTACTTTCTCAGATATGATTTATAGTCGTTTGTCTATAATGACAAGATGTAGTTTTCTTCTGTGCTCTGTACTTATGTACTCTGGAGTTCACTGAACTTAAGAAATCTGTACATTTAGTCTTTTACCAAATTTGGGAGGTTTTTAACCATTATTTCTTCAAGTATTTCTTCTCCATTCCTTCTCTTTCCTCTTTCTGCAATTCCAATTACTTGTATATTATACCATTTTATGCCATCCCACAAGTCCCTGATACATTTTCCATTTTTTAAAAAAAGTTTTGGTTTCTCTGATCTTCATATTGTACAATTTGAATTGATGCATCTTCAAATTCACTGACTGTCATTTCCATTCTTAAGTAAGGCCATACAGAAGATTTTTATTTAAGATTTTATAGTTTTTAAATTTTTTTTCTTTTAACATTTTTTTAGTTTTCAACATTTTATTTATTTATATGTGGTGCTGAGAATTGAACCTAGGCCCTCACATGTGCGAGGCAAGTGCTCTATCACTGAGCCACAACCCCAGCCTAAGATGTTATAGTTTTTAATTTCAGATTTTTTCATTTGACCCTTTAAAAATATTTCCTATCTCTCTGCCAAGATTTCTTATCTTTTCATTACTGTCAACTGGATTCTTTATTTACCTACCATGCTAAGGTGCTAAGTTCTTTTCTGGTAATTTAATATATGGGTCCATCTAAAAGTTGGCTTTTTGATTATTTTTTTCTCATTCCTTGTTATTTATATGTCAAGGAATTTTAGATTGGATTCTGGATATTATGAATGCTTTGTTTCAGAGATTGCCTTCTATTCTATTTTCAAAACAGTGTTGATATTTCTGTTTTAGCAGATAATTAATTTGATCAGGTTAAGTTACAAGCTCTATCCCACCTGTGATGATCAGCAGCTCAGTTCAATTCTTTTAGTTTCAAGCTGCTCTCTATGTATCCCATGCATGTAGGGTCCAGCAATTGGCTAGATGCTTGGAGGGCATCTGTACACAGAATGTGGAGCTTTCTTTTTCTGACATGCTTCTTTTTGAGTCCCCTCACACCCCATTTTTCACTCACTTTTCATTAGTTGTACTGACTTAGACTCTGTACTCTGCTTCTTCAGGCAAAAGATCGTGGGGTTTTGTAAGTTTTAGCTACCCTGCATCACAGTGTGAGTGCAGCATGCCCTAGACTAAAGCCTTAAAAGTGGGAAACTCACCGAGTGTTGGTGGCTTCTTTGAAGTTTCAATTCCTCTCCAAAATCTCCCAAGTTTTGTCCACTCTCCAGAACCCTTAGGTAGTTGTTGTTGTTTGTACTTTGTTCAGATTTTACAGTTATCTGTAGGGTGGTCAGTCTGTTAAGATCTCACTCTGCCATACTGGAGGTAGAACTCCTCAACACTTCTTTTTAAATAAACTTAATTTTGAAATAATTTTAGATATACAGAAAAGTTACATATATATAAGAGTACTTGTATACTTCTCACCCAGATTCAGTTTCCTGGAATGTTATCTTCTTACATTATCATGGCCCATTTGTCAAAGCTAAGAAATATTGGTACCTACTATAAGCTAAACTCTTGACTTTGACTTTATTCAGATGTTACCAGTTTTTTTCTTTTAATTAGGGACCTTTTTCTGTTCTGGAGCCAATTTATTACATTTAGTTCTTATGTCTTGTTAGTGAATGGTCTAGGCAAACTTCTCTATCTTTCCTGTTTCTGACCTTGACTATTTTGAGAAGAACTGGTCAGGTATACTATTAAAACCTTCCTCAATTTGTGGTTGTTGGAGGTTTCCTCATAAGATTAGGGTTATGGGTTTTGGGTGGGAGGGGAGAATACCACAGAGGTAAATTATTCTTCTTTTACATTATTATATTAAGGGGTACATGACATCCACATAATACCACTGGTGATGCTAATCTTTGTCACTTGGTAAAAGAACCATAGTTTGAGAACACAGTACATATAAAACATGTTTTCACATTCTCCCTTCTTAAAATGAAGTTTAATGAAAATTATTTGATTAAAAACATCATGTAGATACTCCTTACTTGAAATTTCTCTTTTTAACTTTTAACTCCAAAGAGATTAAACAATAGAAAATGATAGTATCTACAGAAATCTGTCATGGGAAAGAAGATATGCAGAGAATGATACAAACACATGCTTCTTCCAAATAAGTTCTTAAAATCTGTGGTAGGCCAATAGTGCATAACAGAATTTAATGGCATGCCTATCCTTTATTAGAAGAACAACAGCTTGGAAATTTTTAGCAATCTGGATTCAGGATGATGCCCAAGTAGTTTGCTAGTAGTGGGAAGAGAAAAAGAATGAAAATCCTCATATACATTTGATGAACAATATCTCTCAGTGTAAAATAAACATTGGAGTTGAGGTGCAACCACTGAATATCATGGGTGTGAGAGTTTTGGTATATTCACCTTGAACTAAAAAGTACCCACTAAGCATGTTCAGGATAGGAGGACAAAAATTCTGTATGCTATATATTCTCCAACCACCCCATCCCTACCTAGGAATGAGTCTCGGGAAACTAATTTGTCACATCTTTACAGATAACAAATCAAAACCAGACACACGATTCAAGAAACTCAGTATTTCATTATATCATTTTTATTTGTATAATAAACATACCATTCCCTTACAAAATCTGGGAGTACAAACCCATATTCAAACTTAATTGTACTATTTTATAAAATTTGATTCTGTTCTGTGAAGATCTGTTTCAGTGGTTTGAAAGATTGTTTATACATATTGAGCTTTTGAAATGCATCAAACAACTAGACCCTAGGGAAAAGAGATATTGGACCTAGGAGCTTCCTAAAAATCTGACTCTCTTATTCCACTTCCCATTCCTGGAAGTTCCTTTCTTTCCATTTGTTTCAGTAAAACCCCTTTAAAAATCACTGGTGAAATCACTCTAAGAGTTTCTGGTATTTATAATTTTCATATGTTGTAATCAAAAGGTCGTTAGGTAAAACACAAGACACAGAAGAAGTATTTTTGTTGGATGTTTGTGTCACCAAAGACATTGACTAAACAATCAGAATAAAATATTTTCCTTTAAAAATCCAGGCAACAAAATGATTAAATTGTTTCTGTCATCCTAGACATCATTACAGTAGCTAAGCCAGGCAAAAATAGGACAGTGAGACGGTTCTTACCTGAAAGTGGCCACAAAGTTCACTGTGGGCCAGCCCAGGACAAAGGATTTCATGGCATTGGTGTTACCTTCTCCCACTTCATCCACACAGCTTGCTGTCCACATATCAGTTAATTTAATTTTATTTTTTATCTTAAAGTTATTATTATATCTAGAGAGAGAAAAAAATAAAACAGGACTTCTCATTATTTTCTTCAAATTTCACAGGAGCTTCTGTACTTGTTATAAGAGGACATTTCTACTTATCACAGGCAAAGAATGTCTTATTGTTTTTATCTTTAGCACTTAGCACAGTGAACTTGACATGCTTAGCTACCTAGGCCCATGAAACAGGCTTTGAAATATCTGGTGATACATTTAGTAGGTGTATTTTTAATATATTTTTTTCTTTTTAAACTAGCTACTTCATTTTTCTATATGTTAAGTGTTGTATTTGGATCAAAACCCTAATTTAAATGTACTGCTATTACCAAAATTAGTTCATTTATTATTTGTATCTTGCTTACTTTAAAAAAAGATTTGAGTGGCTGGTGATTTATAAAAATGTTTATACAATTATGGCACATAAGAACCTGGAATTAGAGTAATTTTTAACTAAATGGCTGGAAGACTTTCTAGTCTTTAAAAGTGTAGGTTGTTTTAAATTTCCTCACTTATGATTCTGCTTAACCATTTTCCTTTATAATCTGGCAAAACTGAATAAATATAGGCTAAAATCAGAACCTACACTAGAAAAGAAAAAAGAATGAAGTTGACACAGTTAACACTCATCTCTGGGAACCTAGAAGATGACCTATTTTAAGTCACCAGTAAAACTGCTTTTAGATAATTTCAATTGTATCTCCCTTAGACCTCGGATACCACCATATCTTTTGACTTAATTGATAGATTTAATACTCATGATAGATCTGAGACTTAAGTAGTTGGAAAGCACTGAGAAGGATAAAGAAAGCCCCAGGAAACTTAGAACTTTCTAGCATCCAGAACCATTTGTGTAAATACTAAAAGTTAAAATGAAATAAAAAATACTTTATATGGAATGGTTCTAAAACTTCTCTAATATATGGAATATTTAAAGCTATAACTCTTTGGTGGGATTTATAAAATGAAAATGGATTGCAGGAACTATACATAAAGACTAACCTAAATTCTAAGCCTCATTTATGCTTCCCTTTGGGTACAATACCTTTGTGATTTGAGATTAATGGCTTCTTTAAATATTTTCAACCCACTGCTATGAATCTTTAATTTTTATAAAAACAGATCTGATTACAGACACAATCTTATTTTAATGGCAATCATTTAATCATTCCCAAGCATATTTATATTTATGCTGTTAAACATAATGCATCTATGAAAAGCCTTAAAACTGAACATGGATGTGAGAATCTTTCCATTAAATTTCCTATAGCTTTTCTCTCTTTGGCCTACTTTTTTTTTTTTTTTTTTTGGTCTTTCCAAAGATACAAGGCTTTCTGATGAGACTGTGTGTGCTAATTATAGTGATAGGAGACGAATCTCACAAACATTTATGGATATAAAGCTGAAGGGATTAGCTTGTAAGTATTTAAAACAAGTCTTCCAATAAAGCTTTATATTGAAATGGTTGGTACTGGCATCATAGTGTTCTTCTTCCAATTTTTCATTCTCAATCTCTAACAGTATTAGACTACAAAAATTAATCTGAATCCAACTTGAACTGGCTCCTGAAGTATTATTTATTATCTCCCTTAGTACCATTTTGATAAAAGTCTAAATCTAATAGTAACTGGCTGAAAACACAAAACAACCCTCTCAAATCAATTCCTTATTTCTCTATTACTATAAAATTAAGATGGCAAGCATACCTTGTTTTCCTACCCTCTGACTTTTATACTGGAATGAATTCCAGTGAAGTTTTAAAATACACAGGTTTCTATGAAGATTCTCCCCTCATTATAAAATATAGATGTGTTATAGTCATATTTTGGGATAAAATCATGATATAGTCTATAACTATCTAATGGTAATTTTAGTGATAATGAATCAATAATCAAGACTTTTGTTAAATATCCTTTTATCTAAACAGAACTCATGGTTTATCATTTGATTAAGAAATGAAAGGGAGAGATAGCTTAAGTGTGTGTGAGGTCATTTCTTTTCTAAAAATTACGCATGGTTGTTTTATGGCTATTAACAGAACATCCTCCTCCTTGTAAATATTTTCATGTTTGTAAACACATCCTGTTTTTAAAAATGAAAAGCCACAATTTTATTAGAAAAATAACTTATTTATCTTTCTAGTGAATTTTTAAAAATGGATTTTAGGGTCCATTTGGCTTTAATACTTGTTCTAATTTTGTATAAAAATGACAATAACCTCAAAATAATTCTCTGCTAATATTATCACAACATCCAGCACAAAATGGAACACATATAATACTTCAGCAAATAAAAGAAAGCACTTAAACTCTCCAATTTACTTACTAAAATTCACCTAGTGTGATTAAATAAGTAAGTGGCAGCTGAGAAATAATTTATCCCACTTGCATTTATTTCTATAAGCTCAACCTAATGACTGAAATAAGTTTTCAAATAAAGCCTAAAGATGAACTAATATGGAACCCAAGGTCTCCCTTTAAACAAAAGTACAAAGCATCAAATACTAAGTTCTAGTCTCAGATTATTTCAACAAATTAAATGATCCAGGGTACCACCTAATCCTTCATCCAAGAATGAGAGGTGATAGGACAGACATATGTTTGGCATTACAGGGGGATATTTCTTCCTGGTGCTGATTATTTTAGAAAAAAATTAAATTCATATTAAAATGGATTTGTGAATACATCTTCATGTTTGCTATGGGAAATAATCATATAAGTAATTTCCTGAAAAATTGTGGATAAAATATTTTCAAGGTGGCAGGATTCCATAATAATAATTATTTCCTCAAATATCTATGCTGTGTTTCAAGGGTATTGGGTTCTGCTAAAAAATGAAATAACTTAAGATAACTCATGCTTTTAAAAAACTCTAATGGATATGTAAAATACAATAATTTTTTATGAACCAAATCTCTTAAATAACAGCATTTAAATTAACTGATAGTTTGTTACTTCATAAAAACATTTAAGTGAACCCACAGAGTCATCTTGAAAGCAGTATGTAGATAAAACATGGTATAAACCTTACATGAGAAAGGTTTTTTAAAAAAAATTTTTTAGTTGTCAATGGACTTAATATTTTTATTTATTTATATGCAGTGCTGAGAATCAAACCCTCACACATAGGCAAGCACTCTACCAACTGAGTTACAACCCCAGCCCAGTTTTTTTTTTTTTTTATTGTAGCTCAGTGGTAGCACACTTGTCTGGCATCTGTGAGGCACTAGGTTTAATCCTCAGCACCACATAAACATAAATAAATAAAGGTATTGTGTTCATCTACAATTAAAAAATATTTAAAAAAATAAAAACTCAGCTATAGAAGTAGATGATGGACATAGATTTTGCCAATGTATCTAAGAATAGTGATTTTCTAATAGAAAAGAAACTAATAGGCTTTTAGCAAAACATAAGATACATAAAACCATTTAAATGTATGCAATACAACAAGAGATAACTTCAGGTAAGAAAACAAAGGTCCCCTTCTCTGAACATTATCATAATTTCTAAGAGAATAATAATCCAAGAAAGGCACAGGAAAATGCATTCCTTCCTAACAAGTATGTTACAAATAAATATCTCTGGGACCCCAGAGTTAAAAAATTTGGTTATTTTAGGTTTTTGATATCTGCTTACAGGTTAAGCACAGGTCAGGCACCTAATAAGTACAACGTGGTCAAGTAGAAGGAACTAGCTGCTAGAATTAAGGCCTACATTCAAATCCCAGCTGTGAGAACTCCTAGTATGTGACAAACCTTCCTGAGCTTCAGTGTTTGATATCTAAAACAACTCTTAGGTTGGGGAATTATTAGGAAAATTAAATTATACCTCTGTGATTCTCCTATTGTAATACCTAGCATATAGAATCATCTAATTAAATTTAAATAAAGGCATGATAGCTAATCTACATTTAAAAAATGATTTGTTTTTCTTTGAATAGAATCAAGTGTACCTAGTGCAAAGGTTGGATAAGGAGACTTTTCTTTCTCTATATTACTCATAACATCATATTCATTTCCAAAGCTATAGGCATTACTTCTATTTAAAACATTCTGAAAGTCTTATCTTTATTTTTGCTTTGAGTTTTTAAAAAATATTTGAACAGTTCAGTAAACCTTATATACCATTTTTTTTTTTACTAGATAGGTGTTTAGCTGGAGCATTTAACTCATCACAAAGGAAAGACTAATTATGAAACAACTACACAGTTGGAAAATCTTCTAGCAAATTCAGAAAAATACACTGGTTCAAAGATGGACTTTGAAATAAAATAGACCTATGTTCAAATGTGGTCTCAACTAATTACTAAATTTTTAATACTAGGAAAGTCACTTAGCTTCTCTGACTATATAAATTGCTTTGTAAAATGAGGAAAGTAATATCTCAGGGTAGTTATAAAGATTAAAGTATTTGTAATAATATCCAACATACAATAAGATCCATGCTATTTTTCATTGTTAATACCACTCCAATGAAATATAATGTTTTGCCAAATTAAATACTTCTCTACCATGCCTTATTTATGACATAGCATAACTTAGGTGTTAAAGTATTGGTAGTAAAAATAAAGTGTTTACTATTCTCTAGTGACTAAAAATCTCTGTTGATAATTGATTTATTAAAATGCCATTTGTTTCTCATGATGTTTCACAACTCATAAGAATGAGGGATGGAGGAAGTAGCAGCTACCACCTTTTAGGCTAGGTGTTAATTGCACTGGCATGTAGCATTGAGCAATAGATGAGTTCTCTTGGGTACCTCTAAGGCATACTTGAAATGTTGTATCCTTAACTGTCATCTCCAGAGATAATGTCCTCATTATCTCTCATTAGGACTACAATAACCTCTGTCTAGTCTATTTGCTTCCACTCTTGCCTGCCTTCCAACCTAACATGAGCAAATATATAAAAAATATCACATTATGACTGCAGAAGAAAATCAAACTCCTTATATCCTTCATGGTTCCAAACCTCCCTGCTTCTTGATACACCCTCATATAGTTGCCATATCTACTACACTAAGGTTGGTCTATGTTGCTAGTAGCATACATTATAAATGATGGTACATCACTTCCAAAAGATCTTTCACCCTAAAGTAGGCAACTGACCATATTATGAGTAGCACTGTGGAAAGGCTCACGTGGAAAGGAATCCAAACCTATCCTATTTTCTTCACAGTACTAATCATAATTTGTAATTCCCCTCATACATATAAAAATATAAGCTCTCACATTAGAATGTAAGCTTCAAAAGGGACAATACCCACCACATTCTTCACTGTGTCTTCTATATTTATTCAGGGTGTGGCACAAATAGGACCTAAATGAACATATTTTTAATGAAGAAACAATGGAAACTTTTTTTCAGAAACAAAACAAACATAAAACTCACTTCATATATTAGCTATGGTAATAGAGACCAGATATTCTTACTGTAAGCACAGAATAGAAAGGGTATGTTAGTGGAAATGCAATTGTATAATTATATGTGGGACAGAGTATGCAATATACTTACTTGATTTTGGCCACAACAAACAGATCATTGAATAGAAAAAGATGCCTCTCCTGCCTCTGCAGGCCTCTTTTGAGTTCTGCCCGACCATCAATTAGCAGAGTCCTACTGGAGCACATAAATGATGACAGAAATGCACATGTGTCAACACTAGCAGAAGGACTTTCCCTGTAACAGATTACATGACACAGATAAGTTAGTCAAATGATCAACTACAGGACTAAGTTTTATGAAAATAAAACTTATAGTTGGTCAAGAAATATAAAACAGTGAAATATTTTTTTCATGCAATGGCATAGTGTTCTCAATGGTCCCCCAGCCTATTCTCCACACAGAAAACTTTAATACTTCATCAAAACATTTTGAAACATAAAGAAAAGTTGAAATAGTTTTACAATAAACACAAGTAAACTTCAACCTTGATTTTATCATTATACGCCTAATCCAACTATTTATTCATTTAATCATTTTATTTTGGCATGTCAGTGTTAACTGCATAAAGCAGTTCATACCCCCCTACATACTTCAGCATGCATATCACTAATTAGAGGCTCAATATTTATTTGGAATTTTTCTCTTGCTATAAAACTTATCCATTGAAATGCACAAATGTATAAACCAAGTATATATTCTGACAAATGAATTCACTTGTGTAACCTAAATTCCTATCATGGTAAATGAAACTATCACTCCAAAAATTTCCCTTTAGTTCTTTGTCAATTATTATATAAATTAGCCCAGAATGGCCTCCATGTATTGACCCTTGGGTTATTTATTTCTTTACTGCAGGTTGAGGCCAACTTGCTCAAATGCTCATTAATGCCAAATCCAAATTTCTACGTACTTGATTATTTCAAAAACAGTTTAAAATGAGAAAATTTTTAGCCACTACTAGCCTGCCTGCTCTGTATAGCCAGTGTTTGCTGGACAATGTAACAGAGTTTGTGGTTATAAGACCCTAAGTTGCTACTACTCTTGAGCTCTCTGATCCCTTCCAAGCTATTAACATCACCTGAATAACTAATCTCCAGAGACAACCTCTCTAATCCTCTTCTTCCCCATGAATTCCCTTGTCCTCCTTTCTTTCTGGATAATGATTTCTTGCCATAAGTCTCTAGACAATCTCATTCTGTGATGAACTTCCTTTCTTATGCAAGCCTGTCCCATGTTCCCTGATCATACTTTGGTACTGGGAAATGAACCTACTGGTACTCTGCCATTGAGCTACATCCTCAATCCTTTTTATTTTGAAACAAGTTGCACTAAGTTTCTGAGGATGGCCTTGAACTTGAAATCCTCCTATTTCAGCTTCCTGGGTTGCTGTAATTATAGGCATGTGTCACTGTGTCTGGCCCATGGACATATCTTTTTAGCTGACTAAAAATCAATCCTTCAAACTACTTACAAACCAGTCAATCCCGACTCCACCACTCCAGACAAAACCACTATTCTGATTCTTCCCCCCAACTGAAGATTAGTTGTAACTGTTCTCAAGTTTTACAAAATGACAGCACAGTCTATCTTCTTTTGTGTAAGATATCTTGTAATGTGTTTTGGGGATTTATTCATGTTACATTTATCAATAATCCACTAAATGATTTTACAAATCCTATTCAATGTATAACTATACCAGATTTTATCTATTCTCCTATTAATTAATACCTAGCTGTTTCCAGTTTTTAACCATTATGAATAAAATTGCTACTAAATGTTACACTGGTCTTTTTTTGTGATGTATGTTTTCATTTCTCCTGGGTAAATACCTAAGAGTGGAATTACTGGGTCATAGAATAGATGTCTATTTTTAATATCAGAAAAAATGTCAGTTTGTTTCCCAAAGTGTAAACCATTTTGTATTCTTAGAAATACTACAGGAGAATTCCAGTTGCTCTGCAGTGTTACCTACATGTTGTGTTGTCAGTGTTTTGAATTTTAGTCAGTCTAGTGAATATATAGTAACGTATCACTAAGATTTTAATTTGCATTTCTGTGATGTTGAGTTTCTTTCATGTTCTTACTGGCCATTTGCGTATCTTCCCAGTAAACTGTTATCAGATGTTTTACTCATTAAAAAATGGGGTTTGCATCTTTTTATTCTTGAAATGTAGGAATTTTTTGTGTATCCTAAATATCAGTCCTTTCTCAGATATTTATTTTAGAATATATTTTTTCTCGGGCTGGGGATGTGGCTCAAGTGGTAGCGTGCTCGCCTGGCATGCGTGTGGCCCGGGTTCAATCCTCAGCATCACATATAAACAAAGATGTTGTGTCTGCTGATAACTAAAAAATAAATATTAAAATTCTCTGTCTCTCTCTCTCTTTAAAAAAGAATATATTTTCTCCTAGTCTGTTCTTTGCCTATAAATTGTCTTAACTATGTTTCTGACAAAAAGTTTATAATTTTGATGAAGTTTATCAATTTTTGCATATGGTGTTTACTTTCTATAAGTTTTCTACGAAATCTCCATTTACCCAAGAATACAATATTATATTATATTCTACCAACATTATTATATTTAGTTCTTAAATGTATGATCTGTCTCAAATTAATTTTGATCATGGTATAAAGTAGGGGCTCAAGTTAATTTTGTTTTTCTATATGACAATTCCTCATTTTTAGTATCATTTGCACAAGACTTTCCCTTTCTCCATTTTAGGCAAACACCTAGTACTTGAAAGAAATTTCAGAAGTAGAGATGCAGTTGCTTTAGCATATTTATTGAAAATTAAATTATATAAAACACATATATCATTTAACTTTAATCTTCTAGGCTCTTTATTCTGCTGCACTAATCTGCTTGTAAATTCTTACGTTAGAATCAATCACACTGTTTTATTGTTTTTCTGCTGTAGATCATGAAATTAGGTAGTGTAAGACTACCATATTTTTATTTTTTAATACTGCTTTAGGTAATTTAGGTTCTTTGCACTTTTATATACACTGTACAGATGAACAAAAATGAAGAACAAAGAAAAAAAGCCTATAATGGTCAGAGAAGGAGAGATGAACTCAGTTTCTAATATACTGACCCTGAAGTTATCAGTAGGGTAGATAGTGAGGAATCAGGCAAGCACCTAGCATTCAGAAGAGATTCCAGAAGTAGAGATACAGATTTGGTGATCATACAAAGATTTGTAAATAAAACCATGTGAATGACTAGAATTCCCCAGGAAATAAACACAGAGTAAATAAAAAAGCAGAGACACATCCCTGAGAAAACATGTAAGTAGAAGAAATGAAGGAAAGAGAACTTGTGAACAAGGTAAGGGCTGGTGAATAACTTGGCAGAAACAGCCTGCTGTGGTGGTCTGGAGTACTGACATTGGCAGAGGGGGAATAAAAAGTTGAGGTCTGAGAAGATGTCTGGGAGAAAGTCATCAGCTGGTCATTTAGGCCTTTAAAAAAAAATTTCCAGGAGAGAGGTAAAGGCAGAACTCAAATGGCCTGGTGTCTGAGAAGAAATAGTGTATTTCTGGTGAAGAAGAAAAGGTAGGAAGAAAGAAACAATCAGCCCTGAAGGTAGGTTTTATTATACCTCATTTTACACATGCAAAGTATTAAGAGTAGCCAAAAATGCTGCACTTCAGTGAAAGTGACTTAAAAGCAAGTATGATTTTAAAACATGTACTTAAAAAATTCCATGTAGCCTTCCAAATGGGCAAATACTTTATATTGACTCAGTAACCTCCACTGATGGTTACTGAGCTCAGTGGTTTAGGACTTCATGGCCTGTGGAAGGAGAACCTAACCCAAGTTCCCTGTCCCTCTATAAATAGCATTATATGGCAAGTAATTTGATGACCTCAATTTCCTTATCTCTAAAGTAAGGTAGTCAAACAAGGACTATAAAATCTTTAAATTCCATTTATAATTAATACATGGGACTAACTACAATAACATGTACCTGAAAGGTAAAATTAATATGGGTGATGAAAGGTAAACAGATAATGGATACCATTAACCATCTCTGTGAAAACAATACTGTTATATGAATAAAAAAGTGTCCCCCCAAAAGCTCATGTATTAGGCAATGCAGGAATGTTATGAGGCGAAGTTATTAAATTATGAAAGCTGTAATTTTATCAGTTAATTAATCCATTTGATGAATTAATACTTTGAATGGACTACAGGGTGGTAAATATAGGCATGTAGGATTGGGTTTGAATAATATGGGTCATGGTGTTTTATCTTTCCTGGACATACTAAAAGTCTTAGGATCATATATTATTGTGATAACTCTGAGATAATGCTTGAATGGCTGGCTATCATCTCCTCTAATATAATTGTTCTTGAGGTGTGGTCCATTGAATAGAAGTATCAGCATCAACTGGGAACTTACAATGCAAATTCTCAGGCCCACCAGACTTTCTGATCAGAAACTCAAGCGTTGGTTGAACATTCTGTATTTCTGTATGCTGAATATAATAAGGCTGCTTCAGAAAATTTACATGTGCATTGATTACAAAGAGATGTAGACATATGTTAGTTTGTTTACTGATCAATAAACCAAGTCACCAATATGCTCATTAGAAACTCCAATATTTTGAATTAGTGTCATATTTAGATATGAGGTGTCCCCCAAAAGCTTATCCATGAGAAAACAAAAAGGTATAGAAATGATTGGGTTATGAGAACCTTAACCCCATCAGTGCATTAATTACTTGATAGAGATTAACTGAGTGGTGACTGTAGGCAGACAGGGTGTGGCTGGAGAAGGTGGGTCATTTGTGGGATGACTTTGGTGTACATCATGTCCTGAGCTGCTTTTCTCTACCACATCCTTCCAATGATGTCTGCCACACCTGGAGTCCCAAGGAACACCGCTGGCCTTCTATGGGCTAAGACCTCTGAAGCTGTAAGTTCCAAAATAAATTTTTCCTCCTCTAAAATCATTTTTGTCAGATCTTTTTAGTCACAGTGGTGAAAAAGCTTACTAAAACAAGTAGTCTGGTTTAGGTAATAATTATATAATGGCATACTGAAAAGAACAAAACACTTTTTCCTGATTAGAAGTAGTTTGATAACTTAGGGGTTTGCAAACGTTAAAAAATATCATCTAATAACTGTTTTCTTTTTGAGGCAAGGTCTTGCTATGTTGCCCATGTTGATCTCTTAATTCATGTGACCTAGTAATTCTTGGGCTTCAGCCTCCTGAGTAACTACAACA